TGCAGCAAATTCATTTAATTTTAAATCTTGATAAAATATATACATGCTTAGTTTCTAAAGATTACACAGGCTTCAGATTTAAGCAGTCTCAATAATTCTTGTGGTCAATGTGGTCAATGTGGTCAATGTGGTCATTGTGGTCAATGTGGTCATTGTGGTCAATGTGGTCAATGTGGTCAATGTGGTCAATGTGGTCATTGTGGTCTTCACAAGTTATGTGTATTTAATTTTATTGACCACAAGATGTCCTTCTATTTCATATTACTACAAATTACTCTGATTTAAAATTAAATGAATTTGCTGCAAATTCATATTCCCCATCTTATGAATCGCGGTTGTCATTTACGGCGGTTTTGACCGGTTTTTTTTTTACCGCATTAACGGTCTGACTCCTGCGATTAGAAAAAACCGTTTGAAACTGCGGTTCAGGAAATCGCGGTTTCAAGCGGTTTTACTTGATTTTTTTTCCGTGGGTTAAACTATAAAACACATTCCTTATGTTACACTTAAATAAAATATGGTCGTCGAGGCCGACTCGCTTGACTCTCGACTGAATTAGTTGCCCAGTATACAATAACCGTTCGGAAACATTTTCTATACAAAAAGACAGGGATATGTCCTAAAAAATGATTTTTCGAGGAGAGTCTTCATTTCACTCATAGTTTTAATGAAAACGAATTTGACCAATAGTGTCGTTTTTCTTCTTTACCGCGGACGTTTCCAAATGAAACGACAACTTCTTTCGAATGATTATTATGATCTTGCCATTTTCAAATACATTGAAAAAAACAGCAGAATAGAAACACCCGAAAAGGGTACTTGAAACTGCAACGAGTAATGAACCCTTCAAAGCGTATCGTAGCGCTTCACAAACCTTTTTCAATACCTTTTGAAATCCACATTTCGAAATGTATGTTGCCACAAGATACCCACTCGAAAGATTTCACTATCGTTTAAGAGAGGGTATTGAAGTAGGAACTACCCTAAAAGGGTATACTATTGATTGCACTTTCAAAAACCATTTTACCATTTCGGAGTTACATATCGTACCCAAAAAATGGTACCAGACGCTAGATCAACGGTACTTTGTAACCATCATCATAAACATACATACGGATGAAAGGGTTTTGTGAAACACTTTTGGACTATGGGTACTACTTGTGGGTTTTACCATCCACTCTTGAGAGTACTATACACCTTCTAAAAGTTTCTGATGTCCCACCTAATGATGATCGATACCCGCCAGGGGTAGTTGAAGTACTACTTAATGATAGAAACGAGTTGTTCTTGTACTTTATAGAAGATAAGGAAAAGAAGTCGACTTTTCCCAACCTACATGTTCTAAAATAAATATCAGTCCTCGTTTCTTTTGAGAAAAGTGTTAATAAAACAATACTATAATTCATCATGTCAATAGTTTTTCACTTGGAATTATCGTTGTTGAAACTTTCATCCGATTATGTCGGAAGAGATTAGGGATGCTTTTATAAGTAAAAATTCTTTTGCCGAAATAAATTCTACACCTTGATTTCTGATGTGTTTTGACAGTCTCATTTGTTATGACAGCAGATGAGATCTGTTTTTATTTAAAAAAACTCAACAATCATCGAATTGTAAGAAATCGTCTGAGGATCGAGAGATTTTGATTAAAAATATGACGGTTGGGATGTATCTTTTTAGATTTAATATTTAAACATTTTCTTTCCCGTTCTCGCGCAGTCAGACGAAAAACCTTTTTTGTAAAATCACTCATTCGAATGTAACAGATTATGTATAGACGCGTTTTTTCCTTTGAAGGACATTTCTTTTTTATCTCCTTCGACAACGACATGTGAAGATATTCATTAGACAGAAGTAAAAAAGAAGTCATTTTTTCTAATAAAATTACTTTGAATTTGTCATCTGTATTATCTTCAAAATGATATCCGATGAAATCAGATTCAATTTATTTCTCATCTTTTATATTCCTTCGACTCTTTGTACTTTGTTCGTTCTTTATCATATGTTATTCGATCGAACATTACGTCAAGCACTTCATAATCATGTCATCATTGTTCTTCTTTTCATTTGTTTCCTTGGTGATTGCACACTTTATCCGTGGATGCTTTACTTTTATCGAAATCGAGACAAGTGGGATCGATCGATGATCTTTTGTACCATTTGGGGATTTCTGGACTGGGGTCTTTATATCTTACACACAATGTTGTTTGCATGGGCAACAGTGGAACGACATATTCTCATCTTTCATGATCGATGGATCTCAACAAGAAAAAGACGATCGATTGTTCATTATTTTATNGGATCGAGAGACTTTGATTAGAAATATGACGGTTGGAAAGTATCTCTTTAGAGTTGATATCTGAGCATTTTCTTTCCCGTTCTCGCGCCGTCAGACGAAAAACCTTTTTTTGTAAAATCACTCATTCGAATGTAACAGATTATGTATAGACGCGTTTTTCCTTTGAAGGACATTTCTTTTTTATCTTCTTCCGCAACGACATGTTAAGGTATTCATTAGACAGAAGTAGAAAAGAAGTCATTTTTTCTACTAAGATTAAGTTGAATCTGTCATTTGTATTATCTTTAAAATGATATCCGATGAAATCAGATTCAATTTATTTCTCATCTTCTATATTCCTTCGACTTTCTGTACTTTGTTCGTTCTTTATCATATGTTATTCGATCGAACATTACGTCAAGCACTTCATAATCATGTCATCATTGTTCTTCTTTTCATTTGTTTCCTTGCTGATTGTACACTTTATCCGTGGATGCTTTACTTTTATCAAAATCGAGACAGATGGGATCGATCGATGATCTTTTGTACCATTTGGGGATTTCTGGACTGGGGTCTTTATGTCTTACACACAATGTTGTTTGCATGGGCAACAGTCGAACGACATATTCTCATCTTTCATGATCGATGGATCTCAACAAGAAAAAGTCGATTGATTCTTCACTATTTTCCTCTCCTTTTCTTTCCATTTTATTTATTTCTCTTTTATTTTTGTGTTTACTTTTTTCCACCGTGTGAAAATTATTCTGATCCATCATCTCCTGTTTGTATGTGGCCATGTTTGTATGATAGTTATGCACTATCTATGTATGATTATGTGATGGAACAGATATTGCCAACATTCACAATTGTTTTCTGTAGTATTTCATTACTTGTTCGTGTTCTGTGGCAAAGAGTTCGAATGCGACAAACCATTCATTGGAAGAAACATCGAAAAATGGCCATACAAGTCTTATCGATCTCATGTGTTTATCTTTTATTATTGTTACCCTATGCTATTATTTATATTCTTCGATATTGTGTTGGTTTATCATATCCATTGCTCATCGAATTTTCAACGTCAACAGTTTTCACTAGTTATTTCATTATTCTTCTTTTTCCTTTTGTCAGTGTAATATCATTACCAGAACTACAAACGCGAATGAGAAATCTTCTTCATTTACGACCCGCAAGACACATTCAGCCAGGTATGACAATCTCGGTTAGAACTCATCCAACTGGAAATGACCGACGAACATAATCGATGTTTCTAACCTTGAACGCACTTTTGATGTTTTTCTCTCTACTGTCGTCTTGTAGGGCATTATTTGATCTCGAATAAAAAAATGAAAAGTTTAATGAGAAAAAAGTTCCTGATAGTGAGCACGGTAGTAAAACAAGATATATAGTATAGGTCATTAGCTTATGTTTTTTCACGTGTAACTCTGTTTCATTTTCGAAAACAAACAACATGCTAATTGATCGCATTTCAGAAGGAATAATAAAAGATTGTGAGTATTAATACAAAACAGACTTGTTTAACAAAACATAATGCACCTAAATTATCAAACTGAATCGTCATCAATATTGGATCGGAGATTGGGCAATAAGAACGAGAAAATCTTCTCTATAATCAAGTCAAATAAATGTGGTTGTATTTGTGCGTAGGAATATTTCTATCAATATTTTCAAGCTTATTTCGTTTAATAGAGCGTGCATTTGATCACAATAGTCCAAATATATATATAGAACGAGGTCTTCCGGATTGATAACGGAAAAATTCAGAAATGAACGAAGATTGTCTGATTACCGTGTGGTCAACTTTTACACCAAAATAATAGTTTTTATTTTCCGTTTTGTTTTTCATCCATCGGGAAAGTGCGCAGATAATTAACGTTCACAAGATCCTTTTCCATGAGAAAAAGATGTTAGTGTCGATCAAGTTTTATTGCAACACTATTTTATCTGTTTGTTTTATATAGGAATTTTCCTTTTTTCCAAGTTGTCAACTTACTTCTAAAGTAACAACTGAGTTACGTTGACTCGGAATGCATACCGATCATAGTTAGTTTGAGGGTGTTGAAAAAAAAGATTGAATTTGATTTCTTTCTTATTTTGAGCTCAATAAGATTCACAGAACTAGATAGTTGGTCGGCTCAAGTAATAACAAACAAAGGAAAACAATTCTCCTTCGTGCGAAAAAAAGCCCAGAATGATATTGATAATGATCGAAAAAATCTTTATGAATAAGAGAACGTTTTCCTCATTGCTAATTATGAACAAAACAAATGTGATTTTGCTCGTTTGACAGAACAACTCATCGAAGATTAAGCATTCATCTTTTCGATGAATTCATTTAATGAGAAAATGGTTCACGTAAAAATTAGGGCACTTCGTTCAGTAATGTGTAATAGCCGCAATCCTTCTCTCTTCTCTCTCTTTCGCCCTCGATCTGATACTCATTGCTAAAACAAGCATGCCTTTCTTTGATAGAATTGGACTTGACGAACCATCTCTGAAAAGAATATGCCTTATGTGACAAAATGGTTTCTGACAACATCAGATATCAAAGAACTTATTGTTTCTCTTCCCGTAGCGGTTTTTTCGAGAGCAGTCGAAGAATATTTACATCTGATTCTTGCTTTTTGGGCTATATAATAGCAACTCCGTTCTCAGCTGCGACTACTTATTATATTCTCAACCAGATCTTAGATTAGATGCAAATTATTGCTTTACTTGTGGTACAAGCTGCTGCTTAGGGCGTTCGGATCGATGACGAATAATTAAAACGTTAAAACTTTTATTTTAAAAATAAACTCCTCTTTCTATTTTAATTCTTATACGTACATTCTAATAGAAGTTACTATAGTATAATCCATATTATTCTCATGAAGTTAAGTCACATACATCGTCTTAGAACTCTGGTTTACTTTAAAAGATGTCAAATGTAATGATGCCTACTTCATAGTATTTTACACGAGATTTTGATGTTTTTCTCTACGAATACATGAAAGACTAACGTGTGTTTAAGTTTAAGTTCATGATCCCATTCAAAAAAATGTACGTATAATGATATCGATGTACAGTCAAGACAAGCATTTTGAATGTCTGATGTGATGAAAAATTTATAACATTCCTTTATGAAAATCGTTTCTGATAGTTTAGAGTTTTAAATACTCGCGAATTTTTTTAGATTCTCAAGTTTTATTTTATATGGGTATGTGGTATAGTGATTTTACTTAGCCTCAAGTTGCATTCACCGGCATCGATGTCTCGTAACGTAGGTAAGGATAGGATATTAGATGGCCTTGTTTAATATTAGTTCATTGAACAATTGGTAAATGATCAAAGAATCTGAATTACTTGCTAACTTTTCGAAATATTCACATTTTATATACGACATTCTCAAGAATCTGCGATCTTCTCTTTTTCGGTACATACCTTATTGATGATATCAAGACTTGTACATTCCTCAACAAACATTTACCCCCTCTGAATGTATACTCTTGAGTACTCATATGCTAAGTTACAAGGATGAATGTGCGGATAGTAGAAGGAGCATTAGTGTTTCTGTAATTAATATCTACTCGCTCACGACCTTTGTACGACATTTTTTGCAGAGTAAGTCTTTCACTATACTAAATTTATTTTAATTAATGAATTTATTGTAATGGCAAAATAAAACAAGAAGTTAATCACAATTAAATACCAGTACATGTTTTCACGATTGAATCCCTCTATTATTGTACAAGTAGACCAGTAATGGGAGAGCAAATGCTATGAACGATAAGTAATGGCCAAGAGATGCTGAACACGTACTAAAATATAAAAAATAGAGATAAAATAATTGATCCACGTAAAGGAAAACATTTGGACCGCGTTAGATATATGTCTTACGCTGTCAGTCCACTGCTCCCTGTTTGAGTACACGTGAATGACGATCGACATTTTGCATTTGTACACGCATAACAACCTGGTACGCCGGTTTGTCCACAGGTTCCAGATCCCATTGTCGGACAACAACAAATACAAATGGTACTTGTCACTTCGGCAATTAGAAGACAGAGCAGTAAACACTTGAAAATGATTGAATCCATGAAGTTGTTTATGCTACTCGATATTCGTTGCAACAACTGATAGTTTAAATAGAGAGACGTACTTTTTTTAATACTCAGAAACAACGATAACAATTGAAATTATATTACGTAGCTTTATTTACTTTGTTAGAGATTGTTACTATTTAATTTTCTTATCCGCAGAACAATACAATTTAGTCACCATGTTTATCTTGGAAGAAGATTTTCTCCAACTTTTGCTTCTTATCTTTCATTCGTTATTCGGCGAAAGAATAAAAGACTCAAAGGCAATACGAAAACAACTACAACAATGTGCAGATTTGTCGTTTGTATTTACGTTTTACTTGTCGTTACCATCTACACTAATTCGTTTTCCATTAGTCAGGAACTTCGCTTATATACATATCCTTTCGCATATGCTCATGTTTTATAGGTCCATCTGATAACAAAATACAGTCAATCGAACAAGTGAACGATGAGAAAGTACATAAGAATAGTGAGTAATTATATTTTTTTCATTATACGACATGTTTTATGCATTTTCTTTTAAAAAAAGATCGAAATGTAATCATGTTCATCGATGATCAAATTAATAATCGAGATTCAAATATAAACAGTTAGCATGCCTGCAACATCAATAGTTATAGAGCGACTATTAACAGATATTTTCTTTTTAGAACAGAATATCATTGTTTCACGAATCAATTCCGACAATGATTTACCCATAGATCGAAACGGTAAACCAAATTGACAGTGTAATATAATAATATTCTCATCTTCGACTTTATATCATTCTTTTAGTATTGCTTTCTAATTCAAATCAACTGTCTGGTAGAGCATCATAAGAAAACATTATCTACATATTATACTTCGATTTAAACTTTTCACACTTCTGTAATATTAAACATTTCTTGAAATTTTTAAGTAAAATTAATAGCAACTCAACTTGAATATTCTCTTCGAATGGAATTATTTCACTTTGCGGTTCGACACATCAAAAGAGTGAGCGTGGGTGATGAAGGATATAATCATATCCATCCTACACCCTGACAATCATAGATTACTTTCATCTTTTCATTTCACTAATAACTTCTTTATATTCTCACATCATGTTCAATTTTGTCTGACATATAAATTACAAAATTATCGTCATGACCCATTTTTTTAGAAAAAGACATGATGATATTTGCATTCAATATTGATCATTTTTTTAACAAACTATATCATAGAAGAGAAATTGTCACGCATAAAAACATTTGAGTTTTCTTTTTCTTGAAATTTTCTTTGAAGAAAACTAAAAATGATTTCTAATATAATTCAATTTTGGATATATCTCGTATTTCTTATTCCATCATTCATTTGTTCATTATTCGTTCTTCATTATTTATTATCGAATCAAAAATTACGTCAATCTTTGAATAATCATGTCATAATTCTCGTTCTTTTTATTTGTTTAATTGCTGAAATGACAATTTACCCTTGGATGCTCTACTTTTTCAAAAATAATCAAACATGGCAAAGATCGTTTACATTTTGTACTATTTGGGGATTTTTAGATTGGTTTCTTTATGTCTCTCATACAATGTTATTTGCTTGGGCAACAATTGAAAGACACATTTTTATTTTTCATGAAACATGGATTTCAACAAAAAACCAAAAATTAGCTTTTCACTATTTTCCATTGATTTTTATTCTTATTTATTTATTGATTTTTTATGTGATTATGTATTTTTTTCCATCTTGTCGAAATTATCATCAACCAACAAATCTTCTTTGTATTTTTCCATGTTTATATGATAAATATATTTTATCAATGTGGGATTTCATTGTCGATCAATTATTACCAATATTAATTATTGTTATATTTAGTATTGCTTTATTTATTCGTGTATTAAAACAAAAACAACGAATGTGTCGTACAATTCATTGGCGAAAACATCGAAAAATGACAATACAATTATTATCAATATCATTTGTTTATTTAATTATATTATTACCTTATGCAATTGTTTATATTATTCGTTTAAGTGGTTTAAAAAATGCATTCAGTAATGAATTTTATGCATATACAGTTTTCTTTAGTTATTTTATTCTTCTTCTTTTTCCATTTGTCTGCGCTTTATCATTACCTGAATCATTAATTAAACTGAAGAATTTCTTTCAATTAAAACAACAACAACAGACAAAACCAACTAACCAACCGATCTTCACTGTAATAACTCCTGACACATAATCACGTTTCTTAAAATCAATGTTTTCTTTCAATAACAGAAAATAAAAAGTCACGACAAGATTTTCCAGGATCGTCCGTTCTCCATGTGAGAAATTCTTATCTTACTTCTTTGTTTATTTGCATATCAAAGCAGTGATAAACAAAGTTATAAAGAAGAAAACTGAGTTTAATGGTAAAAGAGAAAGAAAGAATGTTTGATCAACCGAATTCAATTCATGATGGTTATGAATATTTAGACGAAATTTCCGTAGATCCTGAGTTGATATGTAGTATTTGTCATTTACCTTTTAAAGATCCACGAAGTACTCCATGTGATGATACATTTTGTCTTGAATGTATATCAAAATGGATTCAAACGCAAAATCGATCGTGTCCAGTATGTCGAAGATCTTTATCAATTGACGAATTGACACAAGTCAATCGTCCAATACGCAATATGTTGGATCGAATTCGTGTGAAATGTACAACTTGTGGACAAAGTGAATTGTCGCGTGGTAATTTCAAAGAACATGTCGAGAAAACTTGTCCCAAAATGCAAATATTATGTTCATCGGCAGATATTAAATGTCCTTGGGAAGGACAAAGAGATCAATTAGATGAGCATTTATCGAATTGTGCTTTTCATTCTTTACGATACATTATTACACCACTTATGACTGAAAATGAGCAACTTAACGAACTAATCAGTAACTTTCGTAGTGATAATCAACAATTACGAGAACAAACAGGTCATTTGACGATTCAAGCAAATAAATATCAAAGAGAAATTCAAGATTTAAATCAACAAATAGCACAACTTAGAACTCAACTTCAAAATCAGCAAATTAAAGAGCAAGAAAGACATAAAAGTGAGTCTTTATTTTCTAATCAAATTTTCAAATCGACCAACTTTTCAGCTTCGATATTCAATGAGATGATTCATTCGAACAAAAATATGCAAATGGTTCCAAATGGTATTTCATTATTGAAAGGTGTTTGGGAATACGTGAGTATAAATATTATCAAAGAATGTATGATCTTAATTCATCTGTCAGTAGATTGATGGAGAAAATTTTGATAGTTTTATGAAAGAGATTGGCGTGGGTATGGCAACACGTTTACTTACAAAAGGTCTCAAACTACGTCTTATTATCGATGAGATCACAAATGAATGGACTGTACGTTTTGAATCTACTATTAAGGTAATTGAGTATAAATTCGTACCCGGTGTTGAATTCCATGAAACAACATTCGATGGACGCGAAGTGAAAGTATGTGTGTCTGTATCATACGGTTTTTTAGCTTCAGAATTATTGTTCTTTTCTAGTCGATTGTGATCTTTTCAGCTAATAAATGGATACATCAAATGCTTGATAAGAATGGAGAGAAATCGGTGATTATTCGTTATGTCGATCAAAATGATATGCAGCTAGTTGTTAGTCATGTCTCATACTTTTTAACGTCAATCTATCTTTTTTTTTCTTTTTATAGGAAATGGAATGCGGAATAGTTAAAGCTCGCCGTTGGTATAAACGTGCCACTTAGCCGCTTTTTTTTCTTCTTCTTTTGATGAAATGTAAAATCGAATTTTTTTATTATTACAACAAATATTTCAGAACTGATGTAAGAAGAGATAGATATCGTTTGTGCGGATTTATATCATAATCTTATGAGTAATGATCTTGTTATCAATCATTGTCATATATGAACTTCACCTGAAAGATTAAGATATATACGTATATATTCTATCGATTTCTATCGTATCTCTAGTCAGTTGAATCATGATGGAAACGCAACAATTTGATGTTAAAACTGATCAACCTCAGTCAATTGAAGAGATTGATTTTCAATCAATAGACGAAATTAAAACTTATAAAAGTTGGTCGATTCTTAATATACTTTTTTGTTGCATATGCTTCGGTGCTTTCGCTCTGTACTATTCGTATAAAACGGAAAAATCCAAACGGCTGAGACAAACACAAGATGCAATCAATTCTTCGCAAATAGCCCGAAACATGAATTTTGTTGCAACAATAGCTGGTGTATTATTAATTATAATCTATATCACTAATTTAGTTATTGCACACAAATAGATTTTCACGCATCCGAACTGTTTTTAGTTCAACACTTTATTCTCTCTATCCTATCAAAGATGCTTTTTAAATTTAATAAATCTTTTTCTTCTTTGTCTATCCAGTAGTGTTAAATAAGAAGTTTCATTTAGTTTCTCAAGGGTTTATTTCAAGGTAAAAAATGTCTTATACGCATGCATGAAAGTATTTTTGTTTGAAATATTCGAATAAGTGAAGATAGAGAAAGATAAGAATTGGGATTAACAGTACTGTGAATGTTGATTTGCATGTTGATATAACACGTCGGGTTTCACCATTTTCGGTGTCCATGAAAATATATTAATCGATTGAGATTTAATTAATAGATTATCGGAATTAATATGAATTTCATGAGACTTTTGAAGAGTATAGTTTGGCCACTGATATTCATTATGAATATGTAAAGGAACTTGTTCTTTTGTTAATGAATATAACGAAATATGTGCGGAGTCATATGAACTTGGATTTAGATTTACTAAAACAACAAATCCACGATGACCAGGTGCTTCACGGATAAACCAGAATAAACCCGATTGTTGCTGACAACCTGTTTGTACCAATCCATGTTGAAATGACGGATTTAAACGTAATTGTGACAACTGACGAAATAGTATCAATAATGAATCTTTTGATTCGCCACCCAACGCTTCTTGTCGCTAGAACAATCTGAATGTCGAACCAAAGAACGAACGAATAAACTTCTTCTTACTTTCACACTTGTTCTCGGTGGATTAATTTGATAATGCGAAAAGCGATGTTGACAATCAGCTGTTGAACACTTTGAAAAGCCTCCACTCGGTCCATCAGGTGACCATGACATCAATGGATGAGACGTCTATTTGAATTCAAAGAGAAACTGAATCTTCATGAAAAAAAAGCGAACAAACTTGATCAAGACCGATTTCTTCTCCATAAAGAACGATCGGTGTTCCACCTATTAACATTGTTGTAGTCAATATCGTTTCCTTTGCTAATGAATATTGATTCGAAGTTTGTGCATGATCATCTCGTCGTTTGGATCCCAACTAAAATAAGAAAAAATTTCGGTGATATTGTATACCGAGAGCCCACCTGCCAAAATTTTGGTTTGGATAAACGTTTGTCTTCAAATGATGAAATTTTCGAACGGAATTCCTGAGCATGATGTGAAAAATGCAATGAATATGCGATTTTATTGTGTAACTCTTCGTTATCTATTAAATTTTGCAAACCAAAAGGAACATCATAAAGAATTACTCTAGAAAAAAAACTTCTTTTTTCGAAGCAAAACATTCTTTGAAGCTTTACTTTGCTTTTGTCTTTTTTTCAATATCATTTTTAAGTTTATTCCATTTGTGAATTGTATTGTAAGATATTTCATACGACTGGGCTGATGGAATATATTCCAATGGAAGATTCACACGAATTCCATCAGCTTTTTGCGTCATCAACCAATATTTTATACGAGACTAAATGAAGAGTTTTTCAATACAAAAACCTCTCTTTTCTCAAACAAATTTGTTACTTCAGATTCGCGATAAATATCGTCATTGCTGAAATCAAGCGGTAGTTGCCGATAGATGTGACGAAAACGACATCCAAAACTATGTTCATCTCTTGAACACGGATGCTAAAAGAAAGAATGATTCTTTTTTTTTCTTTCCAAAAAACAAATTTCTTTACATTTGCACTCGGATCATAACGAGCAGTGGAATTAAACCAGAGATGATCATTTGTACCCCAAGTTGACGCCAATGGTAAATCAACAAGTAAATGCATATCTTTCTTGTACAGAGTTTTCATAAAATCTTGTAAATCACTTTCATTTCCAACTGATGAATCTAATGACATGAAATTTGTTTTCGGAGAAAAGATTGTTGATTGAAAAAGAAGAGATTTTATTCGATTTTCTTGAAAATATTTCAGTTTTTCTTTGACACCTTTAATATCTCCAATTCCATCATCATTCGAATCGTAAAATGATGGAACATCGATTTCATAGATAATTTCTTTTTCATACCAATTCAAATGTGGTTTCGATGGACAACGTGATGAAATGACAATTAAAACAATGGATCCAATTAAAAGTGATACGACTAATAGAATGTATAAACACGCAATAGTCCAACGAATACGTTTCCATTTAGGATTGTTGAGATATTCTTGTAATTCTTCTTTTGTTAAACCAATGAATTGTTGATTTTCTTTCGGTTTTTTATATTGAACCAGTTCACCAATTGTTTCCGACTTTTGTTCATCTCCATTTCGATGAACAAAACCAATTTCTGTTTCATTGAATAATGGTTGATGGACTTCATCACGAACTACATCTGGATCGCTTATCACAATTGTTTCATCCATTGCTTCTTCTCTTCAAAGTATCTTTTCTTTTATGACGAGAAAGAAAAACAACACGAAGCACAAAAAACATAACGTGCCACAGATAAAAATAATAGAATAAGAAAAGAGGCGATGACTCACTTCTTCATGAGAATACGGATATGTGTACAACATACAATGACACTGTCTTTCCTTCTGCTTATAAAGTTAGATTACGTTATTGAGAAGGGTAGATCAAACATATTCATGTTATCATATGACTTACAGCTGATTCTCGCGGTTGAATAATTTACGTTTTGAAATATTTCTGATAAAAGAAAAGTATCACTTACATATAAAATATCCATTGTATACTTATACACACTCTCTTTTTTACTCTTAAGATATGTCAATCTGAATATTTTCAGATAAATTTCATCGAAAAATTTAAATAAAAATAAGGAAAAAAAACCTAATTTAGAGTTCTTTGTACTATGCTCGTGTTTCGAGAATAACGTATGTCTAAAATATCCATTTAAGAAAAACCGTCTCTCAACGCGTAGAACCATAGGAAAATTGTAGAAAACGAGTTGGATCAATTGTTTCGGAACCAATAACAATATCGGTTTTTAAAGAACGCTCATGTGCCTCATCACAAACTACAAGTGAATCAAAATGTTCTGCAGCATTTTGTGGTCATCGGGTACTTTTGTCAATACCAGTTTCAGCAGTGACAATCAAAACATATTTGCATGCAAGATGTTGACAAAAATCATTTTGTCGAGATAGAATTAATAATGACGCTTTTTCATGATCTTTGGTTCTCTGTTTTAATGATTTGAAATTTGTTTTTCTGTTGTAGGTTCAAGTTACGCTTCGACAATCGAGATTGGTACATTTTTCTTTATCAAGATATTGACGTTTCTAACCAATACGATTGGTTTAAATCTCGATTCATAGTTAAGTGAAAAGACACATTGGTATTCTTGTTTTTTCTTCTATATCTTTTTTAGAGTCTTGATCATCTATTTTGTACAGCTGCCCAGCAGCGATGAGAAGCCTTACAATATTTTAAAAATCCAACGAAATATAAGCAGAATGGCAAACGTGTTTCCTTTTGAGCTTGTGATCTTTCAAATATTACCGTATATTTTAGTTTCGTGAAGGTTACTCACCTAATCTGAGAAAACGGTTTCGTGGCAATATCTCTTAGCAATCAAAATTTTTATCATTTGAAAAATCTAGAAATGTTCCCGACTTATTCGTTTGTCTGAAATAGTTGTGCGAATTTGTGTTCTTGGAAAATTCTGCTCTATTACTCGAGGGCTATCTACTTTGAAAGTTCTATCCGATCGTTCCTTCGAAACGCTGAAAGAGAAAAGATCTATATAAAGGCAAGAGTCCGTTGACATCAAATATTCTGACATCTACTGCATTATGTTGTGTTCTGTTCGGCAAAACTAATCAGAGAAGAGACTATGCTACTTATTTGAATTTTCAGTTAGTGTTATAAACTATAGTAAGAACATTATATCAATTAATGTATCGTTTCTATCATGTAACGAAATCCTCGCAAGTGCTTCTGTTTGAAAATGGATTTTGGGTTAAAAAAATAAGAATAAAATTGATGGTATATTAAATAGTAGCAACAAAGACTTCATTTATTCATTACCAACACGTCTGTACTTCCTATTCAGTTGTATAAAATCATAATTGTTTCTTTCGATATGTATATATTGGTATAATCACTGAATCGGTAATCCTTGTTTAGCCATACGTTGAAGTTGTTCAAGCCAATGTTGATGTTGAGTACACATTCGATGAGGAAAAAACAATTTACTTACTCGTGCAGGCAATCCATGTTGAGTCTCTTCTGTAATCACAAAGCAACTGTGTTCACCTCTTGGGATAATTAACCATGCATGATACACATATAGACCCAGCAGACCACGTGCATCCCAAGCAATCCTTTCACCTTCAACATATTCTCGGACTTGAGATACTAAATTCACACCAAATGTACGCCATGTAAAACGAGTATTTTCACGAAGTGTTGCTGATTCTGTATCAGTAATAAAATTAACATTATGCGAGTTATTATAATAAGTTGGCCAAAGGCGAGCATGTACAAGCCATGACCAAACATGTGATGCTGGTGCAGCTATTTCGAGTTCATTTCTAACATGTACTGCACATCGATTTGGTTCAAATTCAGTCGGCCAATGAATTGCTGTTCGCTCAGTCTCTTCCATGTAGAATAAAGCAAGTATATACGTTTATCATCTTTCTACTAATAGAAAAGTAAGAATAAAAATAAATGTAAATATTTTTATCGCACACGTGTTAGACTCTGAATTATAATATTTACCAACAACAATCAAGGTATATGGTTAAGAGTATCATTCGTTTTTTCTTCAATCTATCGACGATAACAATGAAGTTTGTATTAATTTGAAAAATAGAAATCGTTGAGGGTGAGGATGAGGGTGTGAGTGACAATGTACATCAATAAGAAATACTCTCACCCTCACTCTTTTCATAACATCCCAGGTCAAAATGTACGAGTTTCTATTTCATATGAAGAGTTGAAACAAATTAAATGAAATCGATGAAAACTACTTGTTTCGTTTGAAACGATTCATAAGGGCGCTCCGCGGTTGTCGCAATGATCTCATTAATACTTAGATTAAATGCTCTTGGTATCTGTGAACACAAAACAGCAGAGCCTTGTGTGGAGGAGAAAAGTTACTAAGCTATACTGAATTACTGTGTTATTCTGTAAAGCATCATCCACCTGCAATGCTCCGTAATTTCCAATATGATTGTCACGAAGATCAAGTTCGATTGGCATCTATTAGCAGGAGATAGATAAAACATTAAAAAACATCATCCAAATCAATGGATAGCTACCTTCTTGTTTTTGGAGCGCAGCGGCTAAGTATTGAGCACCCAAAGGTTCAATCCTGTTTTGTAATATGTTGTTTAAGTGTCGTGCTCCATTGATCTCTATTGGATTGTCGCTAAGTTGAAGCATGACAAGTATCTTTATAATAAAGAAGGGGATAAAAGATTTGTACATACGGCTAGAAAATTACCGTCTGATCTCGTAAAATTTCAGCAAAAACGCGTATGCCTTCCTCATCGATTCCATTTTCATTCAGTAAAATGCGGCGAATGCTCTATGAAAGTAACACATATCGATTGTCTCAAATATGCATTTAGATAGTCACTTGACTCTGTTGTAATGCATCGCTCAGATGTTTTACTCCATTATTTTCAATGCGATTCATTCCAAGACCAATCGAAGTAAATCCCTTCAAATAATTTCAATCTCATACGTTCAAAACACAAATGGCTGCGTATATACTTTATTAGATTTGATTGCTTCGCTTATATAGAACTCGCCAAGTTTCCCAATGCGATTGTTGTCCAGATAAATGTCTCTAATCGTTTGTACAAAGAAGATTATTTTGCACATGAAAAAAAGATTTTCTTCATTACCTTGTTGTTTCTTAATCCACCACAAAGATATTTCGCTCCTTTAGTTTCAATCTGATTTCCTTGCAAGTTAAGTGATATTAAAGTCTGTTATCAATTCAAAATAAATACAAAACTGAAACGGAAAAAAACACTTCTATTACCGTATTGTTTTCTCAAATCTTAACAATAAATTGTACACATTCTGCTCCTATAAGATTATTTTCCAAATGAAGATATTTAATTGTCTATAAATTCACACGAAACTTTTTTCCAACTGAGAATAAAACGACTACCGTGTTATTCTCTAATGCATACATTAGATATTTCTTATCAGGCGCTTTTAAGATTTTGAGATTGTAATTTCAACTTCGTCAATGCCTATGTCAAAATCGGGAGAGTTTTCAAATCTTGGATAACAATTGTATCGAAGCATTTAGTTCATTACTTACCCATGGTTTCATGATACTATTGACATCTTGTAATAGATGAATAATTGGATGAAAATCAAAATTGAAAGATTTTAGATCGGATAAGTCTTTTTGAATTAATCGTGCTCAGTTTGAAACGTTTAGAATACAGTCTAACTTCAATCGATATGACAATAGTTTAAGTTGAACAAGTGATGGAGTAAGTGGCAGAACTATTTCCGATGCGGTCAATGATGTTCATTGTCGATATAATGTGTACAAGTAGAAGACAATTGTACATAGTTATCCTTTGTAAATTGTTGGATTGTTAATCTTTGTAATTGTGTCAATTTCTGTAGAATAAGATGGTACTTCGACAAGGAACACAATTTAATCGTTAGATGTTTTATAGTGGAGAGGTTTGACTAAGGTATTTTCTGAATACAAATATCTGATCTGATCAAATGTAGGTGATTAAGATTTAGGTGAGTTATAACCTTCGAAATAAAAGCTATTGGTTCTGTGTCATACCAACTTCATGTATGAATGCTAAGTGAGCTTAAATTCGATAGAGTAAGTCTATTCAAAAGTTCGTAATCCTTAGAGGCTGTGACGTGATCTAATGTAATTGATCGAAGAAAAGTTAATCGACTAATGTTGACAATGGAAAAAAGTAATTCAATGTCAGATGATTTATATGAATCGCCATCACATATGAGTGAAGTGATGTTTTCTCGTTTTATAAGACGAAGTATTCTTTTCATATGTGAGTATGATGTCGAATTAAAATTTAATTCATATTGATTATAACCATCGGTAATTTCATAAAATCGTTTGCATATATGACAAAATTTGAAGATAATTGTGTATGTGTCAAGATACTTGAGGATTTGATACAATAGTTCCGATAGCAATACAAAAAGTGATGCGGTTGTCAGTGACACGTTGACTGTAGTGTTCCAAATATCAAATAAATTTATTTTATGTAATCGACAATGAGCGAGTTGATAGTCAGCAGTGCACGTGTATAGTTATCTTTTATTTGGAACTACACAGATGCACATCCAAGAATAAATAAGTGCAAATATGTATTATTTCTTATCATAAAGATTCTGAGTGTTGTGAAAAGAAATCAAAGTAAAGACAAATATTTATACTTCAAATTACAAAACATAACAAAACCCATAAAAAGCTGTGTTTTCCTTCTTATTCAGACACGAAAAAATCAACACAGTCGATACTTTTCTTGGTAAGAAACCCCGCTTAACTGAGTTATTATCAGATGTAAGTGTCACCTATTGTTACTCTTAACAAAAGAGAGGCAATCTTGAAGGTGACAGTGTTTATCAAACATATATCCTCCTCTCATCCTATAGGATCGCGTCTACATATTACTATCTGGTCTCGGTAGTACTTATTGTTATATTCGTGATGGTGTTCATTACGTGACGATCAGCAGTCTGCAATTCAGAACATTCGAGATTTCAAAGGATTGCTGATTGAGTTGCAATCAACAAATATTGTTTATTTCAATTTTCCTCACTAAAAATGACGTTTTGAAAGTCACCATAACCTTAAAAGAACGTACTTGAACGTACTGAGTAATTCTTAAAAATCCTTGAATATTGAAAGTACGCAAGTTCATCACTTGTTTCCATGTAAAAGTACATGCCAAATACATGATTTCATTTTCTATGGTAAAATAAACAATAAGAATACTCCCAAATTGCGACATATAATTACGTCAATCATGTTAATGATGGAACGAATCATTCCATATAAATAGGTGTGCATCAGACACAGCAAAAAACAATTCAAATCAATCAACATGAACAAACTTGCTCTTTCAGTAAGTAGAAATGACGAAAAAGAAACGATTTGAATTCGACTTTCATTGTAGATTTGTCTTATCTTTGGTATTGTTTGTTACACAAATGCGCAAGGTGTAACATTTACAACAACTGCACCTCCTTTCACAGTAGTTTGCAATACTATTACAGCAAACAAGGCAACAACAGCTGCGTTTTTACAACAACTCACAGCTGCATTGCAAAGTACTGGTGCAGGATCAACAAATTTTCCCAATTCAGTTGCATATGTAACAAATTCAACAAATCAGAAGGAACTCTTAAGTGGCGAACAAGGATGTATGAATTTCTTCAATGGTTTTCTAACACCATTTACAACTGATTTACAAAATGATAAAGTCAAAATCGTTGATGCTCGACAACAACTCAGCCAATTTCTTCAAACAAAATTTCCAAATCTCGCTGCGGTGCTTCCAAATTAAAGTCTTTCGAACACATTAACAAAGAACTTCAATTCTTTTTTTTCTCTTTTCTTTAGTTAGATCTTCTTTTTTTTCATTAAAAAACAAAAATAAACTTTCTTTGGGTGACGGTGAAATATTTTAACTTCCAATTTTACATCATTTCTTTGATATTAACGAGAAAGTAATCAAGATAAGAAAGGTTATTCATCTTTCTTTTATTTTTCACTTATTCATACATTTGAGAATAAATGAAAACTAGGTTGATGTGAAACTATAACACAACGAAACAGATTTAGCCGAAAGATTTTTAAATAAAGTTCGGTACGTGAAAAGTAATCTATTTGACTCCGAATTGAAATTCGGTATCGAATGGCGTTAGTTTTATACTCAGGACAAGCTTTCTTTTATCTTTCTTCTGTCTAAAAGAAAAAATTTCGATAAAATTTCTCTGAATTTTTTTTTGTGTAAAACAACTCCTAGGTCAAAATTTGTTTCTTTGTACTAGCTACACGTTGATTGTGTGGATGAATTATTCCAAAAGAATTTCTTCAATTTGATGATTTTCTCGATGCTCGTTTTCACAAATGATTCAATTTCTCTCCGAATAACACTGCTTTTTCACCTGTCAATATGAAAGCAATTGTGTATTTATTGAATTTTCATTTGTCTTTGGAAAAGGTTGCAACAATAACTTGATGGATATTTACTTTGCTTCCAAATCAGAATACATTCAATACTAATATTTGTATAATTCGAACAATTATCGTTCTCAAAAGAATCATTCATCTCCTTGAACAGAAATTCATTACTGCTTTTAATAATCTAATCGTCCGGAGTTGTACAATCCTGACCATAATCATCTGCTAAAAGAGCACGAATATGATCTCATGTCGAAATCCATTGAATTCCGTTTTCACCTCGTATGTCATTCACTTTGACATTCCATCACTATCACTTTTTCTCACCTCAAGATTTTACTACAAGACCTTTTCAATCTGTAATTGGTTGAATAATATTTTCGTTTATTTTCAACCAACAACTCTCCTACGAACATAAGTGTACACGTATATCCATGTTCAAATATCAACCGTATTTTCATTCAAACAATAAACTCGTACGCTTTTGAATGGTCAGTTTTTATTAAGCCAGTTGCAAAAGGCCATGTAGATGTTCTAACAAGATCTTTCTTGAGCCAGCGTGTGCCTTCGTTATCATCTGTTTATGTAAAGTGTGTACAACAAATTGTTTGTCGACAACAAGGACCACATAATTTACTTGAGGATCGAATATCTGATAAATCCTGCCTCTCAAAGTCCCAACCAGACGCCCATGATATAGTTTCATTGTATTTCCATTGCTGAAAGGTGCCGTTCACGTCCTCTGGCAGTGATGAAAGTTACTAATCGTCCTGTCATTTTAGTGCGAATTAAATCCAGAATATTAATAACTAAAATGAATTTCATAGAATATGATTAGTATGTAGCACACAGAAAATACCACCGTTTGTATCACTGTCATTATTTAATTGAAGTCAACCAAATTTTAATTTGCCTTTCGACACTACAACACTTATTTTGTAATTGTATCTCGATTTGAGTGAAGTCGAAATATAAACTTTGCTTGAATTGCTCGGATACATGTATACGATGACTGGAAGACAATGAGTGATCAAACAATAAGCACAAAGGAAAACAGAGTTAGCCAATGATCTTTCTCAATTTACTATTCGGTGTGTTGGTCTCATGGATCATCACAAGGGATGGCCGTACACAAAAGGTAACGTCAGATAATGTCAGCGTGAGGAGTTCGATGGTTGGCTCACGGACAAGTGGAAATTATGTCCTTTGGCACATGTGACCGTGTCTGGGAAAATATCAATAATAATTGTTCACGCTTAGGCTTAACTTTGTGCATGAAGTCCGAAGTTCTATGGCCAAAGTATTTGTTTTAGTTAATTGACACTGCGAAGAACAAGAATAAAGATTATTTTGTTCATTTTTATTGTAAATGGATACTATCGCTTAAATAACAAACTGCATAATCTAAGAGAAATTTTTCATCATGAATTATTCTCTTTAGGTCAATGATAATTTTCTGATCTGTCATTAATATCCGAACAGAGAATCAAATTCTTCCCTACCAATTTTCGCGATTTTACCTATTAAAGGTATTTGGATAAAGCATTGTTAAAGAATAAATTTGTTACTTATATTAACGAACTAATAAAAAGAATTTTCTTTGGCACGTTCTAAATGATAGATCGATACGGAATTCAACACTCGATTAGCATTTTGGGTTTGATGCAAAATAAAGACATATAATCATCCAGCTCGCCAATCTGTCCAGAATAATTACTTTCAATTGAATTTTTCTAACTGAGACAGCAATTTCGATTACTAATGATGACAAGTAAATTAGAAGCGAAAAAGTTGATATGAAGTGTATTAAGATGAATAAAGAGTAGAGCAATCGTATTAATGAGAAACGTAATTGATGTTTGAAAAATAATCTCCACTATTGGAACGGTTAGTCGTGCTGAATTGACAGAGAAAGAGAGTTATGAGGTCATCGTCTCCTCTCGCCGTACCGCAGCGACATTTCTCCATGCCTTTCTTTTATATAAAAAGCATATATTTTTAGCAACAACAAAAATACATTAAAAAGTGAAGACAACAAATTATGTTTGACGAGTATTTTCAGCTGGATGAGTTCTTGTCTGTACTGTCTTAATTGGTTAAATTTGTTGTGTTCGTTGCAAATGAAGAAGATCTTTCACTTTCTTTTGCAATTCTGGTAATGATAGAGCACAAACGAAAGGAAATATGAAAGGAATAAAGTTATTAGCGAACGCCATTGATACAAAAAGTTCAGTGAACCATTGACTCGATAAGTTGGTATAAGAATGAACAATATAGATAATCGCGTAGGGTAATAATAAAAAAAGATAAACACATGAGATGGACAAAACTTGTATGGCCATTTTTCGATGTTTTTTCCAATGAATAGTTTGACGCATTCGAACTCTTTGACACAAAACACGAACAAGTAATGAAATACTACAGAAAACAATTGTGAATGTTGGTAAAAGTTGTTGCATCAGATAATCATACATTGTAAGTGTGTAATTATCATAGTAGCATGGCAACATACAAACAGGAGATGATGGATCAGAATAATTTTCACACGGTGGAAAAAAGAAAACAAAAAAATAAAATAAAAATAAATAAAATGGAAAGAAAAGGAGAGGAAAATAGTGAAGAATCAATCGTCTTTTTCTTGTTGAGATCCATCGATCATGAAAGATGAGAATATGTCGTTCCACTGTTGCCCATGCAAACAACATTGTGTGTAAAATATAAAGACTCCAATCCAGAAATCCCCAAATGGTACAAAAGATCATCGATCGATTCCACATGTCTTGATTTCGATAAAAGTAAAGCACCCACGGATGGAGTGTACAATCACCAAGGAAACAAATGAAAAGAAGAACAATGATGACATGATTATGAAGTGCTTGACGTAATGTTCGATCGAATAACATATGATAAAGAACGAACAAAGTACAAAGAGTCGAAGAAATATAGAAGGCGAGAAATAAAACAAATTTCATGTTGTCAGAAATCATTTTTATGTGAATTCAATTTGAATTTCGGATTTTCCTGTCTTAGACGTTTATCTGAATTCACCCCGGCTTCATAAATAATGAGAGAAGTAGCATTTTTATATGCTAAAAATGTTTTTTAACACAAAAAAATTTCAAAGAATTACCTTTCAGAAATTTGCGCTAGGACATGTGCTTTTTCATGCATACAAATATTCATCTACTTACCTATGACATTTATTGAAGTATGTTCCTGAGATGCTCTGGGTGACATTATGAAAGAAGAGTTCTTTTATAAATCTTTTTTAGGAAGGTCAACGTATTCTACAATTTGAAATATCTGGGAATTAGTTTCACTCATGGAACTCATAGGATAACATTGGGGACACGAAGCAACAGGTGAGAATGTGGAGAGACTGTGTGTGATTCTGGTACGAAATTTCAGAAATATATGAAAGAATCTGAACAGACAAACTAACCACTGATTCCCAAATGTGCAGAATAACTTCTCTATATTTAGCTCATTTTCTTATTCAGACTATCATAGCATAAAATCAAATTCAAAACTCGAACGATATGATTATAAAAGAAGAAATACATCTAATGAAATCGGCAATTTAGTTACTTTAGCTACATGAATAACATTGCGCCCGTCGAAAGCATTCCGATTTGCTGAAGGTCACTTTTTTGAACAATGATTTACGCATCGTTGATAAAAAAAGACTGATGTCATTGATTGAGTTCTTCCGCAACTTTCGTAAGTATGGGTTCTATTCGATTGTTGAGTCCTGCGACGGTTGCATCTAATCGATTCATTACATAAGCGAAAGAAAGATTGTATGCTGGTGCAGCTAAACCAATACTTCCACCCGCTCCTATGAAGAACATGATTTAATCAAAGCGAGAAAGTCTAAACATAGAAATTACCAAAATGACCAAAACTTCCAGAACCCAACCGAGGAAGAATTCGATCGAAATTCATAAAACCCATTCCGAACGATATCGATGATTGTGACACGGAATCTAATTCCACATAAGGCGTATTGGATTTTGTTGCGACTTTCAAAATATCTTCATTTATGATTCGTTGATATTTTCCATCATCGACATCACCAATCAATAAGGCGTAGAATCGTGCAACTGACCAAGCATTTGTAATACCATTGGCAGCTGGTACTTCAGCTTGATGTAGACGAGCGTCGTTAAAGAAACTTATAGATTCATCCAATGATGCGTTCTGAAAGTCTTTTGTGATTTGGTTAAATTCAAGTGGAGACACACGATGTTCTTGTGTGGAAGGCAAACCGATGTAAAATTCAAAATTTGATGGAGATGATATTTCATCGTGAACAAATTCCCCTAACGAACGTCTTTTTCGATCAACACGTCGAATAAGTTCGCCAGCAAGCCAACCATAAGTCAACGGATGATAATTATGAGCTGTTCCAGGCAACCACGCCGGTGATTGTTGTTCTAATTTGTGTATCATCTTTGTCCAATCGAGATAGTCTTCATATGAAGCAGAAACGTCTGGTACCCCAGCGCGATGGGAAAGAATATCACTGACTGTGGTGTTTTCTTTTCCATTTTGTCCATATTCCGGCCAATAGTCAGTAACTAATGCGGAGTAGTCGAGTAGACCTCGTTGAACAGCAAGGGCGACAGCGGCAGCGACAATTCCTTTTGATGTTGAGAAAACTATTTGTAATGCTGCGCTATCATAAGGTTTTGTCTTTGATTCATCAAACCATCCACCTGTGAGACTAACGACTGGTTTGCCTTGGTGATATATCGCCACTGATGCTCCTAAATCTCGATCTTTGATAAAATTATCTCGAAAAAGATCGGAGACAAATTCCCAACCGGGTGCGATTTCACCTTGAATGTTGTGATCAATTAATTTGTAACTAATTACGAATAAAGGAAAAGTCAACAGAAGAAAATACATTGAATAATGGATCATTCGGTTAACACTCATATTGAAAAGGATACAGAATATGCTCAACACAAAGAAGAAGAACACGATAAATATAGTCGAGTATATGTCAGCATGTAAATGAGATTAGATTGAATTTATGTAGTGCATTAGTTAACATTCGAAAGTTTGTAAAAGTACGTATTATTCATTAAAAAATTTCTTTGGTATTAGCATGTTATTTCATACGATTATTCGGATTATTATTTAATGTCATTTTCTGTTTTCGCAGCTCAAAGTGAAAATTGAGGCTTTGAGGCGAGAGAAATTATAGAGAAAGAACCTCTCTCAGAATTTGATTCTGACGAGTCGCACATGGAGCGCTTCCCGAGAATGGTTCGCGTTCTTTTCCTCTCTTGCCAGTATGATTCGTCTGTTCTTTTTCTCTTGCACGTGGTCTTGAGAGAAAAACACAGTCAACATGTAGCGAACTGGGTATTTTTTCACACTATATCAAGATTCGTCGAACATTGGCATGGCGAACTCAAATATAAAAAGATGGAGTGTTAAAATTAATGATCTTCCACCGAATATCTCTACTGCTGACTTGACTGGACAGCTAGATATTGCAATACATCGAATCGTTATTCCGAAACAGCGATATTTCAACAAGTGCTACGCGTATATTAACGGATTTCCAAATGAGGAACAAGCAAATGAGTTTACTCTTCGATGGAATGGGATGAACATTTATGGAAAAAGAATTAAATGTAAAGCTCATGAAAATATTCTAACGATACCGAGTACATTCCATCCCCGACGTCACGAACGTAAGTCAATTTTCTTAGTAAATATAGGTTCTCTTAAAGCAAACTATGAATCTTTCATTCTTTTTCATAGAAGCATCAATAACTGATGATACGAAACCAATGAATCAGTGTGATTTTCGAGTCACGACTGATTCCAGTTCATTGCATTCATCACAAAACAAATCATTTCACTTCTCTTCAGAAGCAGATTCTATTCAATCTGAACAGCAAGAATGTCATCTTGGTATTCACTGTGCGTATGCATTTTGTCCGTGGATCCATCCGCCAGATTGGCACGTTTGTGAAGATGGAGCAGAATGCAATTCTTTTGATTGTAAAGCGAGCCATCCTGAAGATCGTAAAGATAAATGTTCGCTTGGCGGTACTTGTCACAATGATGCATGTCTTCTTTTACATCCAAACGGTCGACAGTTGCGTATTCGCGGAGCTAAATGTCTCGAGCTCGAATCTACATATGTGCATCCATCCGGCCGACCAACTAAGTGTAAAGACGGTATTCTTTGTGATAAGTTCAATTGTAATCGGTTACATCCACGTGAATGGGATCCACCAGATGATACCAATTATAGAAACTTCCAATCACAAAGTAGTGGCATTCTAAAATCATTCCGAGTACGCATGAGCGAACGAGAATCCGCTCGATTACCTATCTTTCGTTCACGTACTGAATTTTGTCAACGACTGGAACGTGAAAATTTGCTTGTAGTCACAGCTGAAACTGGTAGTGGTAAAAGCACACAGTTGCCTCAATATGCTGCTGAGTATTTCTCCGATGGCCTCGTAGTGTGTACTCAACCACGTGTTGTCGCTGCAATGTCTTTGGCTCGTCGTGTGGCGGACGAGTACGATGGAACATCCGAAGGCAATTCTGTTGGATATCAAGTTGGCAGCGGCAATCGTGTACAAGGTACAAATATTATGTTTATGACGGATGCGGCACTCATCCACGAGAGTCAATCCGACCCAAACTTGAGTCGGATACGTGTACTGATAGTTGACGAAGCGCATGAACGTTCACTTAATACAGATATCGTTATCGGCATTAGTAAACTACTATTAAAAAAACGTCCAGACGATTTCTTTGTTGTCATCGCTTCGGCGACCATCGATCCGACTCGGTTCTTAGCATTTTTTGATCGAACATTCGATTCTCCTTTATCCGTTCTTGGTCGTGTATTTCCAGTCACCAACGAGTATTTACCACCACCAAAAGATTGTACGGATCAAAATCTTATTGAATTACACCTTATTCCAACGATTCTTCGTCTGTTTCCCAAACATAAAGGAAATACGTTGGTTTTTCTTCATGGTCAACGCGAAATTGAACATGCCTTAACGCTGTTCAGTCGAGATATACCCAATGGATGCGTAGCATTACCGCTCTATGGTTCGTTATCGCCGGAAGAACAAGAAAGAGTGCTTCAATTCGATGATGAGAATCCCCAGCAGCGAATGGTTGTTTTTTTGTACCAATGTTGCTGAAACATCGCTGACAATTANCGTGGTAATTTCAAAGAACATGTCGAGAAAACTTGTCCCAAAATGCAAATATTGTGTCCATCGGCAGATATTAAATGTCCTTGGGAAGGACAAAGAGATCAATTAGATGAGCATTTATCGAATTGTGCTTTTCATTCTTTACGATACATTATTACACCACTTATGACAGAAAATGAGCAACTTTACGAACTAATCAGTAAATTTCGTAGTGATAATCAACAATTGCGAGAACAAACAGGTCATTTGACGATTCAAGCAAATAAATATCAAAGAGAAATTCAAGATTTAAATCAACAAATAGCACAACTTAGAACCCAACTCCAAAATCAGCAAATTAAAGAGCAAGAAAGACATAAAAGTGAGTATATTTATCTTCTAATGAAATTTTCAAATCAACCAACTTTCAGCTTCGATATTCAATGAAATAATTAATTCGAACAAAAACATGCAAATGGCTACAAATGGTATTTCACTATTGAAAGGTGTTTGGGAATATCAAAGAATGTATGATCTTAATTCATCTGACAGTAGATTGATGGAGAAAATTTTGATAGTTTTATGAAAGAGATTGGCGTGGGTATGGCAACACGTTTACTTACAAAAGGTCTCAAACTACGTCTTATTATCGATGAGATCGCAAATGAATGGATTGTACGTTTTGAATCTACTATTAAGGTAATCGAATATAAATTCGTACTCGGTGTTGAATTCAATGAAACAACGTTCGATGGACGCGAAGTAAAAGTATGTGTGTCTGTATTACATCGTTTTTCAGCTTCGGAATTATCGTTCTTTTCTAGTCGATTGTGACCTTTTCAGCGAATAAATGGATACATCAAATGCTTGATAAGAATGGAGAGAAATCGGTGATTATTCGTTATGTCGATCAAAATGATATGCAGATAGTTGTTAGTCATGTCTCATATTATTTAACGTCTATCTATCTTTTTTTTCGTTTTATAGGAAATGGAATGCGGAATAGTCAAAGCTCGCCGTTGGTATAAACGTGCCACTTAGTCGCTTTCTTTCTTCTTCTTTTGATGAAATGTAAAATCGAATTTTTTTATTATTACAAAGAATATATTTCAGAACTCATATAGACTTATATCATAATCTTCTGATTAATGATCTTGTTATCAATCATTGTCATATGTGAACTTTGCCTGAAAGATTGAGATATATATTCTATTCATTTCTATCGTATCTCTAGTCAGTTGAATGATGATGGAAACGCAACAATTTGATGCTAAAACTGATCAACCTCAGTCAATCGAAGAGATTAATTTTCAATCAATAGACGAAATTAAAACTTATAAAAGTTGGTCGATTATTAATATACTTTTTTGTTGCTTATGCTTCGGTGCTTTCGCTCTGTACTATTCGCATAAAACGGAAAAATCCAAACGGCTGAGACAAACACAAGATGCAATCAATTCTTCGAAAATAGCCCGAAACATGAATTTTGTTGCAACAGTAGCCGGTGTATTATTAATTATAATCTATGTCACCAATTTAGTTATTGCACACAAATAGATATTCACGCATCAGAACTGTTTTTAGTTCAACACGTTATTCTCTCTATCCTATCAAAGATGCTTTTTAAATTTAATAAATCTTTTTCTTCTTTGTCTATCCAGTAGTGTTAAATAAGAAGTTTCATTTAGTTTCTCAAGGGTTTATTTCAAGGTAAAAAATGTCTTATACGCATGCATGAAAGTATTTTTGTTTGAAATATTCGAATAAGTGAAGATAGAGAAAGATAAGAATTGGGATTAACAGTACTGTGAATGTTGATTTGCATGTTGATATAACACGTCGGGTTTCACCATTTTCGGTGTCCATGAAAAGATATTAATTGATTGAGATTGAATTAAAAGATTATCGGAATTAATGTGAATTTCATGAGACTTTGGAAGAGTATATTTTGGCCATTGATATTCATTATGAATATGTAAAGGAACTTGTTCTTTTGTTAATGAATATAACGAAATATGCGCGAAGTCTTGTGGATTTGAATTTAGATTTACTAAAACAACAAATCCACGATGACCAGGTGCTTCACGGATAAACCAGAATAAACCCGATTGTAACTGACAACCTGTTTGCACCAATCCATGTTGAAATGATGGATTTAAACGTAATTGTGACAACTGACGAAATAATATCAATAACGAATCCTTTGATTCGCCACCCAACGCTTCTTGCCGCTAAAACAACCTGAATGTCGAACCAAAGAACGAGTGAACAAACTTTTTCTTACTTTCACACTCGTTCTCGACGGATCATTTTGATAATACGAAAAGCGACGCTGACAATCAGCTGTTGAACACTTTGAAAAACCTCCACTCGGTCCATCAGGTGACCATGACATCAATGGACGGAATCTCTATTTGAATTCAAAGAGAAACTCAATCTTCATGAAAACAAGCGAACAAACTTGATCAAGACCAATTTCTTCTCCATAAAGAACGATCGGTGTTCCACCTATTAACATTGTTGTAGTCATAACCGTTTCTTTTGCTAATGGATATTGATTCAAAGTTTGTGTATGATCATTTCGTCGTTCGGGTCCCAACTAAAACAAGAGAAATTTTTGGTGATATTGTATACCGAGAGCCCACCTGCCAAAATTTTGGTTTGGATAAACGTTTGTCTTCCAATGATGAAATTTTCGAACGGAATTCCTGAGCATGAGGTGAAAAATGCAATGAATATGCGGTTCTATTATGTAACTCTTCATTGTCTATTAAATTTTGCAAATCAAATGGAATGTCATAAAGAATTACTCTAGAAGAAAACTTCTTTTTTCGAAGCAAAACATTCTCTGAAGCTTTACTTTGATTTTGTCTTTTTTTCAATATCATTTTTAAGTTTATTCCACTTGTGAATTGTATTGTAAGATATTTCATACGACTGGGCTGATGGAACATATTCCAATGGAAGATTCACACGAATTCCATCAGCTTTTTGCGTCATCAACCAATATTTTATACGAGACTAAACGAAGAGTTTCCCAATACAAAACTTCTCCTTTCTCAAACAAATTTGTTACTTCAGATTCGCGATAAATATCTTCATTGCTGAAATCAAGCGGTATTTGCCGATAGATGTGACGAAAACGACACCCAAAACTATGTTCATCTCTTGAACATGGATGCTAAAAGAAAGAACGATTCTTTGTTTTTCTTTCCAAAAAACAAATTTCTTTACATTTGCATTCGGATCATAACGAGCGGTGGAATTAAACCAGAGATGATCATTTGTACCCCAAGTTGACGCCAATGGTAAATCAACAAGGAAATGCATATCTTTCTTGTAAAGAGTTTTCATAAAATCTTGTAAATCACTTTCACTTCCAACTGATGAATCTAATGACATGAAATTTGTTTTCGAAGAAAAGATTGTTGATCGAAAAAGAAGAGATTTTATTCGATTTTCTTGAAAATATTTCAGTTTTTCTTTGACACCTTTAATATCGCCAATTCCATCATCATTCGAATCATAAAATGATGGAACATCGATTTCATAGATAATTTCTTTTTCGTACCAATTCAAATGTGGTTTCGATCGACAACGTGGTGAAATGACAATTAAAACAATGGATCCAATTAAAAGTGATACGACTAATAGAATGTATAAACACGCAATAGTCCAACGAATACGTTTCCATTTAGGATTGTTGAGATATTCTTTTAATTCTTCTTTTGTTAAACCAATGAATTGTTGATTTTCCTTCGGTTTTTTATATTGAACCAATTCACCAATTGTTTCCGACTTTTGTTCATCTCCATTTCGATGAACAAAACCAATTTCTGTTTCATTGAATAATGGTTGATGGACTTCATCACGAAGCACATCGGGGTCGCTTATCACAATTGTTTCATCCATCGCTTCTTCTCTTCAAAGTATCTTTTCTTTTATGACGAGAGAGAAAAACAACACGAAGCACAAAAAATATTACGTGCCACAGATAAAAATATAATAGAATGAGAAAAGGGGCAATGATTCACTTCTTGAGGATATAGATATGTGTACAACATACAATGGCAGTATCTTTCTTTCTGCTTATAAAGTCAGATTACGTTGTTGAGAAGAGTAAATCAAACATATTCATGTTATCATATGACTTATCGCTGATTCTCGCGGTTGAATAGTTTACATTTTGAAATATTTCTGATAAAAGAAAAGTATTACTCACATATAAAATATCCATTTAAGAAAAACCGTCTCTCAACGCATAGAACCATAGGAAAATTGTANTATCTTTCTTTCTGCTTATAAAGTCAGATTACGTTGTTGAGAAGAGTAAATCAAACATATTCATGTTATCATATGACTTATCGCTGATTCTCGCGGTTGAATAGTTTACATTTTGAAATATTTCTGATAAAAGAAAAGTATTACTCACATATAAAATATCCATTTAAGAAAAACCGTCTCTCAACGCATAGAACCATAGGAAAATTGTAGAAAACGAGTTGGATCAATTGTTTCGGAACCAATAACAATATCGGTTTTTAAAGAACGCTCATGTGCCTCATCACAAACTACAAGTGAATCTAAATGTTCTGCAGAATATTGTGATCATCGGATACTTTTGTCAATGCCAATTTCAGCAGTGACAATCAAAACATGTTTGCATGCAAGACGTTGACAAAAATCATTTTGTCGAGATAGAATTGATAATGACGCTTTTTCATGATCTTTGGTTCTCTGTTTTAATGATTTGAAATTTGTTTTTCTGTTGTATGTTCAAGTTACGCTTCGACAATCGAGATTGGTACATTTTTCTTTATTAAGATATTAACGTTTCTAAACAATACCAGTGGTTTAAGTCTCGATTCATACTTAAGTGAAAAGATACATTAGTACTCTTATTTTCTTTTCTGTCTCTTTTTTAGAGTCTTGATTATCCTTTTTTTACGGCTGCCCAACAGCAATGATAAGCCTTACAATATTTTAAAAATCCAGCGAAACATAAGCAGAATGGCAAACGTGTTTCCTTTCGACATATCTTAGTTTGGTAAAGGTACAGAATATTCTTCATGTTAAAATTTCAAAAATTCCACCTTTTTTATAATGGATACTTAGCAGATGATAACTTTGCCATTATTGATGTTTGTGCAACAGTTGTAAGTCAGTATTGGATGGATGTACAGAATGAATCTAAATGTCACATCACCCTTTCAACCATGGACTGGTTATTGTGTGAAATTTCGTATTATTAACCTGGACGAGTCTATGAATTTGTTGAATACGTATTAGATGGAAAATTTTGGCCATAATTTTAAATAATTAATGGATCAATGTCATTTGGTACTTTGAAAATTATAATATTTCTGAAGATTTAACAACAATTCTTTAATTTCTGTTTCAGTGCTACAAACATGATGCTTGTTGTTTATTTTTTAGTGATATAGCTAATATTACTTAGCAATCAAAATTTTTATCATTTGAAAAATCTAGAAATGTTCCCGACTTATTCGCCTGTCTGAAATAGTTGTGCGGATTTGTGTTCTTGGCAACTTCTGCTCTATTACTCGAGGGCTATCTACTTTGAAAGTTCTATGTGTTCTTCTGTCCGATCGTTCCTTCGAAACGCTGAAAGAGAAAAGATTTATATAAAGGCAAGAGTCCGCTGACATCAAATATTCTGATGACATCTACTCCATTATGTTTTGTTCGGTTCCGCAAAACTAATCGGAGAAGAGACTAAGCTACTTATTTGAATCTTCATTTACCTTTATAAACTATAATAAGAACATTATATCAATTAATTTATCGTTTCTAGCATGCAACGAAATCCTCGCAAGTGCTTCTGTTTGAAAATGGATTTGTGGTAAAAAAAAATAAGAATAAAATTGATGGTGTATTAAATAGTAGCAACAAAGACTTCATTTATTCATTACCAACACGTCTGTGCTTCGTATTCAGTTGTATCAAATCATAGTTGTTTCTTTCGATATATATTAATATAATCACTGAGAGATGAAATTATTCCAAAATTAATTTTTTGTCGGTAATCCTTGTTTAGCCATACGTTGAAGTTGTTCAAGCCAATGTTGATGTTGAATACACATTCGATGAGGAAAAAACAATTTACTTACTCGTGCAGGTAATCCACGTTGAGTCTCTTCTGTAATCACAAAGCAACTGTGTTCATCTCGTGGGATAATTAACCATGCATGATACACATATAGACCCAACAGACCACGTGCATCCCAAGCAATCCTTTTACCTTCAACATATTCTCGGACTTGAGATACTAAATTCACACCAAATGTACGCCATGTAAAACGAGTATTTTCTCGAAGTGTTGCTGATTCTGTATCAGTAATAAAATTAACATTATGCGAGTTATTATAATAAGTTGGCCAAATGCGAGCATGTACAAGCCATGACCAAACATGTGATGCCGGTGCTGCTATTTCGAGTTCATTTCTAACATGTACTGCACATCGATTTGGTTCAAATTCAGTCGGCCAATGAATTGCTGTTCGCTCAGTCTCTTCCATGTAGAATAAAGTGAGTGTATACGTTTATCATCTTTCTACCAACAGAAAAGTAAGAATAAAAATAAATGTAAATATTTTTATCACACACGTGTTAGACTCTGAATTATAATATTTACACGCAACAATCAAGGTATATGGTTAAGAGTGTCATTCGTTTTTTCTTCAATCTATCGACGACATCAATGAAGTTTGTATTAGTTTGAAAAATAGAAATCGTTGAGGGTGTGGGTTACAATGTACATCAATAAGAAATACTCTCACTCTCACCCTCACACTGATCTGGTTATATCAGTAAGATGACAATACCATCGTAATCTAGTTTTTTTTGATAGACGTATATCAAAGGCTACGAGGATTTATTTCATATGAACCTTTTCTTAGACGTACACTGTCAATCTTTTTCGTATAGATGAATTAATAACTATGAATCTTCAGGTCGATTGATTCGCGCATTGCTCACAAATATCAAAACCTTGTTTTATACAAGAGAATGCCAAGAAAAACCCCAACAGCCCTTTGAGCATATATCACATTCAAATTTCGTCGTTCGATACTGTCGGCTATAAGTACTTTAAGATGATTATCATGATACAACTGGAGCCGATGACCATTTAGGCATATCAGTTGTAGTGTGCCTATAGAGAACAAAATACATGAATCCGAAAATTCTCTTCATTCTTTTTACCATTGAAATCGAATTCAATTGGTGTCTAGAAGATCTTTTATAGTGTCACAACAAAATCAATTAAAAACAATGACTAACCGGTCTATTTTGCTGGATATCTTTTAACCCTTGTGCGGTATTTGTGGGTCCAATGAGACCCACAACATTGTTTTTTCATATTTTCTACACAAAGATCTATCCTGTTCTAGTCCATCTCTCCACTAATCGTTAGTCCTCTGACGGTATACAAGTACCATATTACATTTCACATATAGATCGTACCACTGAAAAACTGAAGGGTAGATCCATAGAGACCCTCGAGCAACTTTTATATTATATAGATGATTTTCATGTATATTGTAGCTGCCATCTATTATGTGGAGTTTATTTATCATAGATGCGTTAGTACAACATTGCAAATTGTGAATTGATTATTATTTTTTTCAATCGTTTTCTGACGATCTTGTTATCTATATATTGAAATATGCCCAATACCGTCTCTAGTTATATGTATGCAAAATTATTCCTATTTATAAATTACTACTAGACTAACTATTCGGGCTTCGATAAAAATATATCTTAAGGCTTACTATATCATATCTGCTACAGAGAACACTAAAAATGAAACTTTTCTAACTTATTTACACGTGGGTCCGGAAGGACCCACGCAACATCTTTTGTGTAAAAAAAGAGGACATCTTACGAGGGTTAATAACGAGGCTAAAAGTTGAACATTTCGATTGCTTATCTTATTTGAAAATAAGACTAATGCATTTAATTCGTTGGAAAATGTTCATACAGATTTATAAAATAAAAGCAAGGTAATCTAATTATTATACGTATTATCTTTGATTCCATGAAAATTTAGTTCGAAATGACGGTGATAGCACTACATTCCACACTTTTGTTATTATTTAAATCAACAGATACGGGTTTGTAAACGATACATATGTAATAATGGCTATAAAAAATGAATATCTAATAACTAGATTATATCTGAGTGCGTCAATACAATATTGTGCTCCTTGATCATCGATTTAATTATTTTTAAGTCCAATTTTAATGAGAATCTGTCGGTAAAAAAGATAATACATTGTCGAAATTGAAGTATATGTGATTACCGGATGATTTTGTAGTATTTTGGAGAGATATTCGATGTCATTGTCTCCAATTTGATTGTTGTCAAGCACAAGTTCGGTTAATGCCTAGTTTTAAGCGACGAAAGCAACATGATTGATCGAAATCAATCACCAAGAATATAGAAGGGGCATTCCCACTGTTCGTAAGATCAAGTCGTTGAAGTGTCTATGTGGAGGAAAGATACATTATGTCCAATAAATCGATCGATACTTACTTTATTATTTTTTAGCCAATCAACGAGATATTGTATTCCTTCATTTTCTATTTCACTGTGTGCGATGGAAATATTTCTAATCGCCTTCCATAAACGATAGATGGCAAATTAATTGATGTTTATTTGATAATATAAATTTGCATATGATACTCAGTAAATTGTTGCGGAATATATCGAATAATAGATGACATTCGATGCCTTTAAACGTCATATTGCGTAATGCCAAATTCCACCATGTCTATATGATATTACAAGTATACGATTAGGAAAAGACCTCGTCAATAACCTTCTTTCTTCTGACATTGATGATTTTTTTTCAAGGAAATCACATTTTGGATCTTTATTACCACTGAGATAGAGCCGAGTGGAAGTCTATGAGAGACTAAAGTGTTAAATTTATATGAGAGCAAAATCGAAAAGGAACGTTTTTCTGTCGCCTTGCGCACTATATAGAGCATCAATGCCAATTTCTTCAATATTATTTGATCGTAAATCAAGATGTTGAAGAGTTTGTACGAGAACGAATATCATATACGAATGAAAAACATATCACTGACAGTATTGTTTTGCATTGCATCGGTAATATATTTGGCTCCTTTGTCTCCAATATCCATTGATTGCAGGTTTAGTGCTGCGATTTTCTGCAACCAAAATACGACATAAAGATTTAGATATAATATTGAACAAATAAGCGTTTGCCTTGTTGTGTCGAATTTGAAAGCTTGCATTCATAGTAATAGCATGACACTTTTCATTACCTCCCAGGTCAAAATGTACGAGTTTCTATTTCATATGAAGAGTTGAAACAAATTAAATGAAATCGATTAAAAGTACTTGTTTCGTTTAAAACGATTCATAAGGGCGCTCCGCGGTTGTCGCAGTGATCTCATTAATACTTAGATTAAATACTCTTGGTATCTGTGAACACAAAACAACAGAGCCTTGTGCAGAGGAGAAAAGTTACTAAGCTATACTGAATTACCGTGTTATTCCGTAAAGCATCATCCACCTGCAATGCCCCTTAATTTCCAATATGATTGTCACGAAGATCAAGTTCGATTAGCATCTATTAGCAGGAAGTAGATAAAGCATTAAAAAACATAATTCAAATCAATGGATAGCTACCTTCTCGTTTCTGGAGCGCAGCAGCTAAGTATTGAGCACCCAAAGGTTCAATCCTGTTTCCACTCCGATTAAGAAGTGAGGAAAATTCAAATTACTGTGTTATTTTGTAATATGTTGTTCAAACGTCGTGCTCCATTGGTCCCTATTGGATTGTCGCTAAGTTGAAACATGACAAGTATCTTTATCATAAAGAAGGGGATAAAAAATTTGTACATACGGCTAGAAAATTACCGTCTGATCTCGTAAAACTTCAGCTAAAACTCGTATGCCTTCCTCATCGATTCCCTTTTCATTCAGTAAAATACGGCGAATTGTCTATGAAAGTAACACATATCGATTGTCTCATATATGCATTTAGATAATCACTTGGCTCTGCTGTAATGCATCGCTCAGATGTTTTACTCCATTATTTTCAATGCGATTCATTCCAAGACCAATCGAAGTAAGTCCCTTCAAATAATTTCAACGTCATACGTTCAAAACACAAATGGCTGCGTATATACTTTATTAGATTTGATTGCTTCGCTTATATAGAACTCGCCAAGTTCCGCAATGCCATTGTTGTCCAGATAAATGTCTCTAATCGTTTGTACAAAGAAGATTATTTTGCATATGAAAAAAGATTTTCCTCATTATCTTGTTGTTTCTTAATCCATCACAAAGATATTTCGCTCCTTTAGTTTCAATCTGATTTCCTTGCAAGTTAAGTGACATTAAAGTCTGTTATCAACTCAAAATAAATACAAAACTGAAACGGAAAAACACTTCTATTACCGTATTGTTTTCTCAAATCTTAACAATAAATCGTACACCTTCTGCTCCTATAAGATTGTTTTCCAAATGAAGATATTTAATTGTCTATTAATTCACACGAAACTTTTTTTCCAACTGATAATAAAATGACTACCGTGTTATTCTCTAATGCGTACATTAGATATATCATATCAGGCGCTTTAAGATTTTGAGATTGTAATTTCAACTTTGTCAATGCCTATGTCAAAATCGGGAGGGTTTTCAAATCTTGGATAATAATTGTATCGAAGTATTTAGTTCATTACTTACCCATGGTTTCGTGATACTATTGACATCTTGTAATAGATGAACAATTGGATGAAAATCAAAATTGAAAGATTTTCAGATCGGATAAGTCTTTTTGAATTAATCGTGCTCAGTTTGAAACGTTTAGAATACAGTCTAATTTCAATCGATATGACAATAGTTTAAGTTGAACAAGTGATGGAGTAAGTGGCAGAACTATTTGAAAATCAATCATTCATAAAGAACTATTTCCGATGGTCAATGATGTTCATTGTCGATATAATGGGTACAAGTAGAAGACAATGGTACATAGTTATCCATTGTAAATTGTTGGATTATTAATCTTTGTAATTGTGTCAATTTCTGTAGAATAAGATGGTACTCCGACAAGGAACACAATTTAATCGTTAGATGTTTTGTAGTGGAGAGGTTTGACCAAGATATTTTCTGAATACAAATACCTGATTTGATTAAATGTAGTTGATTAAGATTTAGGTGAGTTATAACCTTCGAAATAAAAGCTAATGGTTCTGTGTCATACCAACTTCATGTATGAATGCTAAGTGAGCTTAAATTCGATAGAGTAAGTCGATTCAAAAGTTCGTAATCCTTAGAGGCTGTGACGTAATCTAATGTAATTGATCGAAGAAAAGTTAATGGACTAATGTTGACAATGGAAGAAAGTAATTCAATGTCAGATGATTTATATGAATCGCCACCACATATGAGTGAAGTGATGTTTTCTGGTTTTATAAGACGAAGTATTCTTTTCATATGTGAGTATGATGTCGAATTAAAATTTAATTCACATTGATTATAATCATCGGTAATTTCATAAAATCGTTTGCATACATGACAAAATTTGAAGATAATTGTGTATGTATCAAGATACTTGAGGATTTGATACAATAGTTCCGATGGTAATGCCAAAAGTGATGCGGTTGTCATTGACATGTTGACTGTAGTGTTCCAAATATCAAATAAATTTATTTTATGTAATCGACAATGAGCGAGTTGATAGTCAGTAGTGCACGTGTATAGTTATCTTTTATTTGTAACTACACAGATGCACATCCAAGAATAAATAAGCGCAAATTTGTATTATTTCTTATCATAAAGATTCTAAGTGGTGTGAAAAGAAGTCAAAGCAAAGACAAATATTTATACTTCAAATTACAAAACATAGCAAAACCCATAAAAAGCTGTGTTTTCCCTCTTATTCACACACGAAAAAATCAACACAGTCGATACTTTTCTTGGTAAGAAGCCCCCCACATAACTGAGTTATTATCAGATGTAGGTGTCACCTATTGATACTCTTAACAAAAGAGAGATAATCTTGAAGGTGAGAGTGTTTATCAAACATATATCCTCCTCTCATCCTAGAATCGCGTCTACATATTACTATCTGCTCTCGGTAGTACTTATTGCTATATTCGTGACGATCACCAGTCTGCAGTTCAGAACATTTGAGGTTTCAAAGGATTGCTGATTGAGTTGCAATCAACAAATATTATTTATTTCAATTTTCCTAACTAAAAATGACGTTTTGAAAGTCACCATAACCTTAAAAGAACGTACTTGAAAGTACTGAATAATTCTTAAAAATCCTTGAATATTGAAAGTGCGCAAGGTCATCACTTGTTTCCATGTGAAAGTATGGCAAATACATGACTTCATTTTCTATGATAAAATAAACAATAAGAATACTCCCAAATTGCGACATATAATTACGTCAATCATGTTAATGATGGAACGAATCATTCTATATAAATAGGTGTGCATCAGACACAGCAAAAAACAACTCAAATCAATCAACATGAACAAACTTCCTCTTTCAGTAAGTAGAAATGACGAAAAAGAAACGATTTGAATTCGACTTTCATTGTAGATTTGTCTTATCTTTGGTATTGTTTGTTACACAAATGCACAAGGTGTAACATTTACAACAACTGCACCTCCTTTCACAGTACTTTGCAATACTATTACAGCAAACAAGGCAACAACAGCTGCGTTTTTACAACAACTCACAGCTGCATTGCAAAGTACTGGTGCAGGATCAACGAATTTTCCCAATTCAGTTGCATATGTAACAAATTCAACAAATCAGAAGGAACTCTTAAGTGGCGAACAAGGATGTATGAACTTCTTCAATGGTTTCCTAACACCATTTACAACTGATTTACAAAATGATAAAGTCAAAATCGTTGATGCTCGACAACAACTCAGCCAATTTCTTCAAACAAAATTTCCAAATCTCGCTGCGGTGCTTCCAAATTAAAGTCTTTCGAACACATTAACAAAGAACTTCAATTCTTTTTTTTTCTCGTTTCGTTAGTTAGATCCTCTTTTTTCCATTGAAAACAAAAATAAACTTTCTTTGGGTGACGGTGAAATATTTTAAATTCCAATTTTACATAATTTCTTTGATATTAACGAGAAAGTAATCAAGATAAGAAAGGTTATTCATCTTTCTTTTACTTTTCACTTAGTCGTACATTCGAGAATAAATGAAAACTAGGTTGATGTGAAACTATAACACAACGAAACAGATTTAGCCTAAAGATTTTAAAATAAAGTTCGGTAAGTGAAAAGTAATCTATTTGATTCCGAATTGAAATTCGGTATCGAATGGCGTTAGTTTTATACTCGGGACAAGCTTTGAAAAATCTTTGCCTATAGTTTTATCTTTCTTTTGTCTAAAAGAAAAAATTTCGATAAAATTTCTCTGAAGTTTTTTGTCTAAAACAAGTCCTAGGTCAAAATTTGTTTCTTTGTATTAGCTACACGTTGATTGTGTGGATGAATTATTCCAAAAGAATTTCTTCAATTTGATGATTTTCTCGATGCTCGTTTTGACAAATGATTCAATTTCTCTCCGAATAACACTGCTTTTTCACCTGTCAATATGAAAACAATTGTGTATTTAATGAATTTTCATTTGTCTTTGGAAAAGGTTGCAACAATAACTTTATGGATATTTACTTTGCTTCCAAATCAAAATACATTCAATACTAATATTTGTCTAATTCGAACAAATATCGTTCTCAAAAGAATCATTCATCTCCTTGAACAGAAATTCATTACTGCTTTTAATAATCTAATCGTCCGGAGTTGTACAATCCTGACCATGATCATCTGTTGAAAGAGCAGGAATATGATCTCATGTCGAAATCCATTGAATTCCGTTTTCACCTCGTATGTCATTCACTTTGACATTCCATCACTGTCACTTTTTCTCACCTCAAGATTTTACTACAAGATCTTTTCAATCTGTAATTGGTTGAATAATATTTTCGTTTATTTTCAACCAACAACTCTCTTACGAACATAAGTGTACACGTATATCCATGTTCAAATATCAACCATATTTTCATTCAAACAATAAACCCGTACGCCTTTGAATGGTCAGTTTCTATTAAGCCAGTTGCAAAAGGCCATGTAGGTGTTCTAACAAGATCTTTCTTGAGCAAGCATGTGCCTTCGTTATCATCTGTTTGTGTAAAGTGTGTACAACAAGTTGTTTGTCGACAACAAGGATCACATAATTTACTTGAGGATCGAATGTCTGACAAACCCTGTCTCTCAAAGTCGCAACCAAACGTCCATGATATAGTTCCATTGTATTTCCATTACTGAAAGGTGCCTTTGACATCCCCTGACAATGATAGTATTAATGCACCGACAATGATGAAAGTTACTAATCGTCCTGTCATTTTAGTGCGAATTAAATCCGGAATATTAATTACTAAAATGAATTTCATAGAATATGATTAGTATGTAGCACACGGAAGATACCACCGTTTGTATCATTTTCATTGTAAATGGATACTATCGCTTAAATAACAAACTGCATAATCTAAGAGAAATTTTCCATCGTGATTTATTTTCTTTAGGTCAATGATAATCTTCTGATCTGTCATTAATATCTGAACAGAGAATCAAATTCTTCCCTATCAATTTTCGCGATTTTACCTATTAAAGGTATTTGGATAAAGTATTGTTAAAGAATAAATTTGTTGCTTATATTAACGAACTAATAAAAAGAGTTTTCTTTGGCGCGTTCTAAATGATAAATCGATGCGGAATTCAACACTGGATTAGCATTTTGCGTTCGATTCAAATAAAGACGTAAAATCATCTAGCTCACCAATCTGTCCAGAATAATTACTTTCAATTGAATTGTTCTAATTGAGACAGCAATTTCGATTACTAATGATGACAAGTAAATTAGAAACAAAAGAGTTGATATGAAGTGTATCGAGATGGATAAAGAGTAAAGCAATCGTATTAATGAGAAACGTAATAGATGTTTGAAAAATAATCTCCACTATTGGAACGGTTAATCGTGCTGAATTGGCAGAGAGAGTTACGAGGTCATCGTCTCCTCTCGCCATACCGCAGCGACATTTCTTCATGACTTTCTTTTATATTAAAAGCATACGTTTTTAACAACAATAAAAATATATTAAAAAGTGAAGACAACAAATTATGTTTGTCGAGTATTTCCAGCTGGATGAGATCTTGTCTGTACTGTCGCAATTGGTTGAATTTGTTGTGATTGTCGCAAATGAAGAAGATCTTTCACTTTCTTTTGCAATTCTGGTAATGATAGAGCACAAACGAAAGGAAATATGAGAGGAATAAAGTAATTAGCGAACCCCATTGATACAAAAAGCTCAGTGAACAATTGACTCGATAAGCTAGTATAAGAACGAACAATATAGACAATCGCGTAGGGTAATAATAAAAGAAGATAAACACATGAGATCGATAAGACTTGTATGGCCATTTTTCGATGTTTCTTCCAATGAATAGTTTGACGCATTCGAACTCTTTGCCACAGAACACGAACAAGTAATGAAATACTACAGAAGACAATTGTGAATGTTGGTAAAAGTTGTTGCATCAGATAATCATATATTGTAAGTGTGTAATTATCATAGAAGCATGGCAACATACAAATCGGTGATAATGGATCAGAATAATTTTCACATGGAGGGAAAAAGAAAACAAAAAAATAAAAGAGAAATAAATAAAATGGAAAGAAAAGGAGAGGAAAATAGTGAAGAATGAATCGTCTTTTTCTTGTTGAGATCCATCGATCATGAAAGATGAGAATATGTCGTTCGACTGTTGCCCATGCAAACAACATTGTGTGTAAGACATAAAGACTCCAATCCAGGAATCCCCAAATGGTACAAAACATCATTGATCGATCCCATCTGTCTTGATTTTGATAAAAGTAAAGCGTCCACGGATAAAGTGTACAATCAGCAAGGAAACAAATGAAAAGAAGAACAATGATGACATGATTATGAAGTGATTGACGTAATGTTCGATCGAATAACATATGATAAAGAACGAACAAAGTACAGAAAGTCGAAGGAATATAGAAGACGAGAAATAAAACAAATTTCATGTTGTCAGAAATCATTTTTATGAGAATTCAAATTGAGTTTCGGATTTTTCTGTCTTAGACGCTTATCTGAATTCACCCCGGCTTCACAAATAATGAGAGAAGTAGCATTTTTATATGCTAAAAATGTTTTTTAACACAAAAACATTTCAAAGAATTACCTTCCAGAAATTTGCGTTAGGAGATGTGCTTTTTCATGCATACAAATATTCTTCTACTAGTTACGTATGACATTTAATGAAGTATGTTTCTCAGATGCTCTGGGCGACATTATGAAAGAAGAGTTCTTTTGAACATCTTTTTTTTAGGAAGCTCAACGTATTCTACAACCTGAAATATCTGGAAATTAGTGTCATTCATGGAACTCATAGGATAACATTGGGAATACACGAAGCCACAAGTGAGAGTGTGAAGAGATTGTGTGTAATTCTGGCACAAAATTTCAGAGATATATTAAAGAATGTGAACAGACGAAGTAACCACTGACTCCCAGGTGTGCAGGATAACTTCTCTATATCCGGCGCATTTTCTCATTCAGACTATCATAGCATAAAATCAAACTCAAAATTCGAACGATATGATTATAAAAAAAGAAATACATCTAATGAAATCGGCAAGCTATTTTAGCTACATGAATAACATAGCGCCCGTCGAGAGCATTCCGATTAACTGAAGGTCACTTTTTTTAACAATGATCTACGCATCGTTGACAAAAAAAAGACTGATGTCATTGATTGAGTTTTTCCGCAACTTTCGTAAGTATAGGTTCTATTCGATTGTTGAGTCCTGCGACGGTTGCATCTAATCGATTCATCACATAAGCGAAAGAAAGATTGTATGCTGGTGCAGCTAAACCAATACTTCCACCCGCTCCTATGAAGAACATGATTCAATCAAGCGAGAAAGTCTAAACATAGAAATTACCAAAATGGCCAAAACTTCCAGAACCCAACCGAGGAAGAATTCGATCAAAATTCATAAAACCCATTCCGAACGATATCGATGATTGTGACACGGAATCTAATTCCACATAAGGCGTATTGGATTTCGTTGCGATTTTCAAAATATCTTCACTTATAATTCGTCGATACCTTCCATCATCGACATCACCAATCAATAAGGCGTAGAATCGTGCAACTGACCAAGCATTTGTAATACCATTGGCAGCTGGTATTTCAGCTTGATGTAAATGAGCCTCATTAAAGAAATTTATAGATTCATCTAATGATGCGTTCTGAAAGTCTTTTGTGATTTGGTTAAATTCAAGTGGAGACACACGATGTTCTTGTGCAGAAGGCAAACCGATGTAAAATTCAAGATTTGATGGAGATGATATTTCCTCGTGAACAAATTCCCCCAACGAACGTCTTTTTCGATCAACACGTCGAATAAGTTCGCCAGCAAGCCAACCATAAGTCAACGGATGATAATTATGAGCTGTTCCAGGCCACCACGCCGGAGATTGCTC